TCCTGTCTTGCAGTATTGTTCTTGGGAGTTCTCTCATCACCATAATTTTGTTTCCCTCTATTACAAAAGGGACGTTGAATTGCTTCTTGAATATCTCCTCTGTTATTGATCTTGTTACAAATTGTACAATTACATCCCTTGGTAAATTCTTCTTTTCTGCAATTCTGGAGTTCACTCTATAAATCAAATCAAAGTCTGAGTCCATTGACCCTTCCTCCTCGCCCAGAAAAGCCGTTATCACTTCCATCATTTTTTCTTTTAAGTTCTCATTCTCTGTTTCCTTAATGCCTCTGAATCTCAGATGAGTCTGCATCCTTCTGAACTCCATCATTGTCTCTGATCTTGTAATTTGTTGAGTCAAAGAATCTTGTTTCTCTTCTATTTTTTGTATCTTCTCCTCTGTCTCTGTAGTCTTGGTTGCATTTGCTTGAACATCCTTCTTAACTCCTTCCATTTCTTGCTTGATTGAAGTTATTTCTGTAGTAACCAATTCCTTCAATGCTGTTATGTTCTTCTCTTGGACTTCTTCTAGATGTTTCAGATGAATCTGAGTTTGCTTCTCCAGTTGGTCCCCCAATGTTTTTTCTATCTGCTCCCCCATGGCTTGTATTGCCTCTGTCATTCTCTTCTCCATTGCTTCCATGGAGGCCGGCTCCATCTTCACCACAGGAATGTTAAACAATAAGCGTTTTTACAGTTTTTAAAGGCTTCAATCAACTTTTTTCTCTCCGGAATCGGATTTCTGGGATTTACTATTCATTTTCCGCTCAACCGCTTAATTCAAATTGACTCCAAACTCAGTTCAGGTAAGCGGCACGTTTTTGTTATCTAGCACGTTCAAAACGGGTTTCGCATTGTTTCTTTTAACTCACAGTTGTTGTCCTTCTTCAAAGAAGTCTGCTGACGAAGAATTTATGCCGGTAATCCGGCTCGATCGGCCACTATAGAGTTGCTTGGCACTTGCCTTCTTCGTGGGAGGAGGTCAAAGCCCAATTCAGCTTCTTCCGAAGCTGGATTACGCCAACCTCACACTCCCTCTAGGGCGCTGCTGCCTGCTTGTCCCCCCCCCTCGCTGGGGAGTGATGCGTTGGGCTGTATATTGCCCAAACTGTCGAAAGTGGCCGTCGCTCGCTTCGCACGATCGCGAAACGCTTCAGTCCTCCATCTTAGCCAGACCGGAAGCCCTTAGCCAGACCGGAAGCCCTTAGCCAGACCGGAAGCCCTTAGCCAGACCGGAAGCCCTTCGCTTCAGTCCTCCATCTTAGCCAGACCGGAAGCCCTTAGCCAGACCGGAAGCCCTTAGCCAGACCGGAAGCCCTTAGCCAGACCGGAAGCCTGACTCCTACTAAGACTTCCTGAAAGCAGGAGAAACTCCTGCACTGCGATACCCCAGGACGGCCTAGGAGTTGGCGACTCTCCAAGAACCCACGCATCACACCCGTTTCTGAGGGGGGAAAGCGTTCTTAGACAACCACAGACTTCTGGGAAGAACCCTGCGGCTCCGTGACCACGACCTCCAGCAAGAGATGTGGCACATTGTGAAACGCGAGCATGACCGGGGTTGCGCCATTGCGTGTCCAGTGAAGGCTGACTCACAGTGTTTCTGTATCCTTATCAGCCAGCGCAGGTACATTAAGACCCTAGGTAGTCTTTTCAACAGATATCCAGGTCAGAAAGTCAGGGGAAAGTGCTAGGCGCAGGTCTGATAACATTCAACCCCAAGGTAGGGTTACCAACCTCCAGCTAGAGCCTGGAGATCTGCCACAATAACTGATCTCCAAAGCACACAGATCAGTTCCCCCGAAGAAAATGGCTCCTCTGGGCAGAGGACTCTATGGCATTAGGCCCCACTATGCCCCCCCCCCGGGTTCCACCTCCAAATCCCCAGGAGTTTCCCAACCCACAGTGGACTGTCGTGAGGATCTTTTTGATAAGGCTTGTTGTTGTTCAGTCGCACAGTCGAGTCCGACTCTTCGCGACCCCATGGACCAGCTCCCGCCAGGCCCTCCTGTCTTCCGCTGTCCTCTGAAGTTGGCTCAATTTCATGTTCGTTGCGTCGATGACACTGTCCAACCATCTCATCCTTTGCCGTCCCTGTCTTCTTTGACCTTCAATCTTTCCCAGCATCAGGGTCTTCTCCAGTGAGGGCTCCCTTCTCATTTGGTGGCCAAAGTATTTGAGCTTCAGTTTCATTATCTGGCCTTCCAGGGAACAGTCAGGGTTGATTTCTTTTCGGATTGACTGATGTGATCTTCTTGCAGTCCAAGGGACTCTCAAGAGTCTTCTCCAGCACCATAGTTCAAAAGAATCTATTCTTCGTCGCTCGGCCTTCCTTATAGTCCAACTCTCGCAGCCATACATGACTACTGGGAATACCATTGCTTTGACCATGCAGACTTTTGTTGGCAGGGTGATAAGGCATATGATTATATATTTAG